GTGTAGTCGGTTGATACCGTTGGCGTTAATGGAGACGCCACGGAGTTGCCACGTGTCTTGATTAGGCGGAGTAGCAGGGAACCATGTAGACGTCCATCGGGTGGACTGCAGCCAGTTGTAAAATGGCTTGATGGACGGAAGTCGAAACGTTGGATCGTTGGAGAAGGTAGTCTCCCAAGGGTGACGCTGCTAAAGCGCACAAGGTGGCATCTGACCAAAGAAAGTGTGGCGCGAGCTCCAGAGTCGCAAGACGGGGGTGGCCTGTATGTCGTCGACAGGCTTCCTGAACCAAAGCTGAAACCTTGAGAGCGTTGAAGTAGATTTCAGGCTGGTTGAGTTGAAGAAAGAGACAGAACTGGGAGATCGCAAGGATGAACTGGTAGTTGTCGTTGTTGGGGACGATGGAGGGCAGGATTGAGGTAGTGGGATCAGGTTGATCAACGACATGTGGCCAAATATGCGCCCAAAGCGGTTGTGGCATGGTAGCAGTCGACTGCGCTTGTACACCGGCAATGATTGAGTCCAAATACGTGTGACTTTGGATGTATCGTTGGAGAGCGTGGCCAGGGAGCTTGGCATGCAGCACCGACATGTTCTTGGGTGTTCGGACATCAAGTAGTGGAGCTAGATGGCCCGGGCTTGCTTGAATCATTGCGAGAGCCGCACTTGGGTCTTCTTCCGCATGATAGCAGTTGGCATAGTGTTCCAGGTAGTCGGTGAGCTCACCGATCGTCATGGATTCAACGTCTGTGTTGATTGTCGAGTAGGCGTGAAGATCAGCATGTGATCGGCAGTAAGCGGCGTATAAGTTGGCATTCCCTGCAATCTTCATGTTGTACGGTGCTGGAGAAGGGTCAAGATCGTATTCGGCGTCTTGAAGTACCTCAAACCAGTTGTATGTGCTGGGAAATGAGTGCGCGACTATGCCATGATGGCTAGTGGTATCGCCTTCGATACTCTCAGCGTGAGAGAGGTCAATTGGTGTCGGTGACTTGGAAGTACAGTATAACGACGTGAGAGTTGCGCTCGATACCAGATCGGCGAGTCCTCTGGGATAGCGGTGTGTGTTTGTATCAAGCGGTCGTGGGCAGCATGAATGATATGCGGGTGGACTTGGACCGTGAAGTCTTCTGCTGACACTTGCGATGTTGTATCATCAAGTTGAGTCGCTTGAGCAGGTCGGAGGGGAGTGTCGGAGTCGTCGCTGGAGCTGAATCTGCCCATATCATCATTTTCAGAGATCGGGTCATCCTGATCGGCCTCTGAATCGCTTGACGGGGCGCTGGAGTCCATTGGAGTGTCGGCCGTGCTCGTTGGAGGCTGGAAAGCGACAGTTGCATTAGTGTTGAAGTTGTTGTTCATCGCCTTGGCCGGCTGGGACGCTTGGTTGTTACCCTGGCGTGATAGTTGACGTGTTGCGCGAAGACTGGGGGGTACGGTTTTGTTGTATCGCGTGATGCGATGATGTACAAACGTCGGGGGTGATTCAGGCCCATGTACGAAGAGCTCTCGTACTGGGTCGTTAGGTGCAAACATCAGACACTTGGGGGGGTCTCGAGTTTCAAAATACACGGTAATATGGCGCGATTGGATGGAATTCTTGTCGAATGTTGACTTGATCATTACGGGTGGTTCCCCGCGCGCGTCGAAGTATGTCCAGATGTCATCGGGTTGAGTATCGGATGCCAGCGTCAGGTCGATCCAATACAGATGCGAGTATTCGGAATATTCCCGGATGGGAAACGGTCGGCCACATATCATGAGTTTCAAACCGCCAAGTCTGGTGACCATATCGCGATCCGTGCAATTGAAGCTAATCCCGACATTCTTGACGCGCATGAAGTCGCGGCAAACACTCTTCGCGGTCGTCCAAGTAGCTGGTTGGTGGGTTGTCGCCAGGCTATCGAGGATGACTTGGAGGGGAAAGGTGGCAACCGCAGACTTGTACGCGATCAACATGTTGAACTTTTCTTCTGGCGGAGTTGGCGTAGGGAGCGATGCCGTGACTGCGAGTCGACGGTCGACGCCGGACAAGTTGCCTGCTTGAAACGCTCGCATGGCCGTAGTAAACTCGGTTTCTGTAGGTCGGCAACGAACATTGGAATGAGTCTTGTACCATGATGCCCGCCAAGTAACGTCGACTTCAGCCTTGTCCAGGACGGTAGTTGCTGATACAGGTGTTTTGACACGACTACCGCCCGATCGATTGTTCAGTGGGTCCAGAGGCCCCAAAGGGGCTTGACCACTCACTTTCGTGGCCCTTGGGGCAACAACGCGATCGGGGATGGCCGTGGAGGTCGTAGGGTTTTCAGACACAGTGCGATTGCGTCCTGGTCGAGTGTGGAGGGATTCCTCATGGCCATCTACATGCAGCAGCGTGGTCGAACCCTCCATTGTTGCTCGGCTAGTGCCAGGTCGGGTGTTCAGTGGGTCCAGAGGCTCCATAGGAGCTTGACCACTCACTTTCGTGTCCCTAGGGGCAACAACCCGACCGGCAACAGCGCGAAAGAAGACGTTGGGGGTTGGCCTGACTGGCCGGCAGCAGGGCCAGAGATCGGGCGAGAGGTGTCGGCATGGCCGACTTGCGACACATGAGCGACGGCAGACGATTGGTCGGCTGACACGGTCATGGGTGGGAAAAACGATGCGATTGGTGGGGCCAGAGCACAAGAGGGGTACTTTCAGTGTTGATCGGGGTGCCAGTGGGACTGTGCAGGAGCGAGCAAATTGAAAAGTATAGTGGTAAAATCGATACTAAACCAAGTCACACGATCTACAATTATTCTCCTCGTTTAAAACGGTGTTATAATTGCAAATTTGACTTCGGGAAGTCCTCCAACGAGGGAGCTGTAAATATGGCACGGAACTCGACCCTTACGCACAGTACCGTGGCTCCAGTACCCCTCTCGAAGACCTAGTTTGCAGTATGACTTTAGTATACTAGTCAGTATCTACGAGGCTGCAATTCTTCCGCCACTCATGCTCGCGAGCTTGCGTCGCTTGTCGATGACAAGCACCGTCTAGGACTGGCCATCGACAACGCCAACTGGCGACAGCCCGACTCAGTGCGGCTCGTCCAAGAATTGCGCGTCGAGCGCCAACTTGTCAACCATCGCATTAGGATGCGCTGTCGGGAGCTGGCCAATGCCGAGATCGACGCAAGCGTCGCCGCCATCGAAGACAACAGCCCAACGTCGCGCATGTTCGCCGCAGTCAAGGACGTCGCCCGCCGAACGTCGACCAAGATCCGACTCAAGGACGACAATAACCGCACGATCTTGAACGAGAAAGAGGCACTCCGTCACTTTCAAGAACAGATCTTTGACAACAACCGTTGGACGTCGCCGCGCACGTGCAAGGCCAAACCGCTCGACACGCCGATTACGGCGTACGAACTCACGGTCGCGTTCAAGAGACTCCACGGCAACCGCGCCCACGGCCCCGACGGCGTCCCGGGAGAACTTGTCAATGCCACTGCAAACGTCTACGCCTCCCCGCTCGCCGACTTGATCAACGCCGGATTTGCCCAAGGTGAACCGCTTGACCTCGGCGCCGGCACCCTGATCTGCCTCCCGAAGCTCAACAAGCCCCGTGGCCTCTGCACTAGTTTGCGCCCATCGTGATCTTGAACAGCATTCGCAAGGCCGTTTTGCTCGCCGTCTTGGCGCGCATCACGCCCAAGCTCAATGCCACAATTGGTGCGTACCAGAGTGGGTCCGACCTGGCCGCAGCACGGCAGACGCTGTCTGGACACACAAGTGGTTGTACTCTCGAATCCGCAAGTATGTATAGGCTTCGGCGTCTTGCGAGACATCCTCGAGGACGACGAAGTGCGGCTCGTGGCTATGTTCTTGTCCTCAACATCGCTCACCCTCCGTCTAAACGGCCTAACGCACGAGCCGTTCGTCACCAACACTGGCACGCCCCAAGGCGACGCACTGTCCCCAGCGCTCTTCACCGTCTACCTCGTTGCGGCCTTGCGCGAAGTGGCCGCGGCCGTGGGCCCGACGTTCAACCTCCTCGGAATCAACATTGCGTACGCTGACGACGCGGACTTCATCTGCCCGTCGCAAGAAGTCATGACCAAAATCACAGCCAAGGCGGTGCCAGTCCTGGCCACATAGTACCTCGAGATGAACATCGCCAAGACCGAAGTCACGGCAGTCTATCAAAGCACGCTGCCCGAGCCGGAGATCCAAGCGCTAGTCAACACCTGGCATGGCGTCAAGAAACTCGGAAGTCTGTTAGACGACACGGCCGACTAGAAGAGGCGCAAGAGCTTGGCCAAGACGGCGTTCAGCCAGAAGTGGAAAATCTGGATGCGGCGCGAGCTCGTCTCCGAGAGCAACCGAGCTCGGCTTTACAAGGTCTACGTGCTGCCGGTGCTTCTGTACAACTGTGGCACGTGGGCCCTGACTCCGACGCCGCTCGATGGCCTCGAAGCCTTCCACCGCCGCCAACTGCGGCTGCTTCTCGGCATCTTCTACCCGCACCGCATCCTCGCCGCGCGTCACCGGTGGCGCCTGTTTGGTCACGTCCTCCGCGCCCCACAGACACCCCAGCACCAGTTGCCATGACCGCCTACTTTGCATCATCCAACGAAGACAAGTTCGCAGGTAGGACCAAGACGACGCTGCCAGTGGTGCTCCACCGCGACCTCCAATGCGTCGGTCGGTCACTGCTCACCACCGAAGACCTCGACGTCATCCGCACCACGGCCCAAGATCGAGGCGTGTGGAAATGCCTAACCGATAAGATCACGACGACGAGCCTCGACCGCAGATCGCCCCCCACGACTGCTGACACGGATATGAATGTAGACGATGCAGGCCACCGCGACAGCAAGAACCCGCGCCGCCTCTGGCAAGTGCGGATCGACGCCCTCACCGAAAAATTTGCTGCTATGCGTCTGTAAGGAGAAAGATTCCGCCACTCTTGACTGTGAATTTACGTATGCGACATATGTACCCCTAAAGGATAAGATAACGCGTAACACGTTTATACAAAAAAACTTTAGTACACTACAGTAGTCAGGACTCACAGTCGACGACAGCATCGGGGGAGCTTAAGCTGGCATTTGCTGAAAAATTGGCCGATTTTGGTCTAGAATACACCAAAATATTCAT